AAGCCGCCCCCCCGGGTGGGCCCTGGGGAGCCGGCCCGCGTGCCGGCCGGTTTTCCTTCTGGTAGCAGCTTCTCGCAGCCGTGAGGCGCGGGACGTTCTGGGGTGCTTAGCGGTGCCGATTCCTCTCCAAGTGCGTTGCCAGCGTCTGCCTTATTCCGTTGCAGATCCATGGTGGAAAAAAGGCAAGCTTTAATTCCCCGGTGCAGTATGTTGCAGTGCTGAAACTTTCATGTGATGGACGCGTTGGTTCGTCAGATGGTCAGGACTTGCTAGTTATTATCAAACAATTAAGAGTGTCTGCCATGCTACCTCATCCAATGTGATTTATGGTGCTCAATATCCAAAGAATTTTAACGGTGAAAAAAACCTGTGCATTTCCTGTGTCCTTCCTGCACAGTATCTACTCTGTCCGAAGTCCCACAGTATCTTACTTGGCAGTAACTTCATCACACAGACATTTGCCCAGTACATTTGCCTGTTGCTTTAATCTGAGGATATTTTGGATTCTTCATTTTTATGTTAAAGGTGTGCGAATTGATCTCTTATAGCTGGGGACGCTGAATCATTGATACTGATATGGAAATAGTATACTTTCATATAGCTTCTACTCTGATACTTACTCTAAATTATTGTTCATTCCTGTAATGCTCTTATGCCCGAAAGAAGAGGGAGGAAAAAAGATGGTGGTAGTAGTAGTACATTAGCAATCAAGCAAAATTCAGTTAACACCGTGAGAGCATATATACTAGATTGGGCATAGGTTATAACTGGTACAGAGCAGTCCTTATTTGAGAACACGGTCTGCAACCTACAATTGCGCGATGAGGTTTCTAGCCTGTGAAACTTTAGATCACAGGGCTTGCATTTTGTGCATCTCTATAGAGCTGCTTCTTGTCTGTCTTCTAGCTGCCTCATTCATGCAATTTCATTCTAATACATTACTTGGGTAGTACGTTCTTGAAAGGAAGTACTATGTATTCCTTTTTTGTTTTAAGAAGCATTTGTTACATTAAGCTGTCCTAAATATAGAAATATGTGCAGGCATACTGTAAAAATAGTCCAGGGTCAAGAGTGCACTGGATGCTCATCACACATCTAGCACAATAAAGCAAATTAGCTTTGGGAGCTTTCTGCACACATTCACTATGCTAACATAAGTCATTTGATGGTAGGTAGGTTTGCACTTTTTGGAAAAGAGAAAACTTTCCAAAAGAGAAAACTTTCCAAAAGAGAAACTTTTTCGTACTGTTGATGCTCTCATTAAAAGAGCACTCCAAACATCACATCATATGGAAAATAGCGGTTCATTGAAAAGTATTTATTTATAGGGTAAAAAGGCCTTTAACACTGTATCAAGAGCTTCCTTGCTTCATTAGTCCTTGAGAAGTTCAGTTTTAATGATGTGAAGAAGCAGTTGTCTGATTTAAGGAATCTCTCTCTGTCTCTTTTTTTTTTTTTTTCTTTGAACAGTATTGTCAGAAAAGCCAACAACTTTCACAATCACTGTGACATCTGAAGCGGGAGAAAATGATGAAAGTAAGTTGATCATGCCTTAAACATATATAGGAGGAGTTTCTGTGTAAGCCTAATTCTATCGCCAACAACTAGGCATACCTTCACTTAAGTTCTCTTAGGGGCCTGATCCAGCAAACGTTCCTCAGAAAATGTAGTTCAAGGATTCTAGTGATCTGTGTTGAGGTTACAGAAATGTTGCACTCTCTTACTAGGGCTACTTTCTGACATGCTGAATCTCAAATGCTTTGTAGCATAGCTTCAAAAATACGGGTTGTCATCATCCCCGTAGTAGTTTACAGCCATGTTGTGAGGCGATTTTTTTTTTTTTTTTCTAGCAACTGTATGTATACCAGCCACATGGCAGAGTTGAGTCTGTATTGTGAATATGCAGCCCTTAAGGAACAGTTCCAGAGCAAAGAGCTGTGGGACCCAAGTCCCTGCGTGTTTGTTGGGTATCAATGGTTGCATGGGCTTGTTGTAAGCAAGCCTTGCTCCAAGTAAGTTTGAGAGCTGCTGTTCTGGGTTACTGTATCAGAATGAAGAAACTGGTGCTGTCTCCTTCAGTTTTAAAGGATCAAGTCCTGCTGGGAGCAGGTGTCTGTGTTGAAGAGAGTGCTGAGCTGCCAGAACTGAGAGTCTGGAACCAAAGGAAGTCTTCTCCCTGGTGTTCTGGCAGGATGCGTGAAAGGAACTTGATTCTCTTTTGCCTTGTTTCCATGTTATCCTAGCTCTGGGTGGCTTTAGGTTGAATGCCTTCTCCTTAGGTGGTTCTCTGCTTAATAACTTCTACTGGACATTGTGTCCTTGTTATGATTTATGTGGAGCCCTGGTGCCCAACACAGAGGTTGATACTCCAGCGCAGGATTTAAAGCATTAATATGCTGAGATTCTGTCTAGATCTGTTGTTAGGACTCTTCTTCATTTTCTTCAGCTTTAAGTGGAATATGAGGGAAAAGAGATTACTGTTCTAGTACCCACCATGCCACAGAAGGTTTTCCAGTCTTTCTAAAGACCTTTCAAACATTAATAGCCTGTAATGGTTTATGTAAGGGTGAACCTCATCTTAATTTCTCAGAACTCTTGCATTATGTTTAAATCTGTTCATACAGCTTTAACATGTAAGGTGACTGTTCCTTTAAGACAAGATATCTTATATTTAAAAAAGTTTAAGCTGCTGATGTAATAGAAAAATATGCAATTAAAGTTATATAGAGTTATCACCATAAGAATATGTGTTTTTTATCTTGTAGCTGTCCAAACAACCCTTAAATTTACCTATAGAGAAAAATATCCTGATGAAACTCCACTTTATGAAATTGTCTCACAGGAGAATCTTGACGATAACGATGTCACGGACATAATAAAACTACTAGAACAACAGGTAAGGAAAATGGAATATCTCAATTCAGCTTGATATCACTTCACACTTTAGCCAGAATTTCTCTCTCAAATCAGTTGTTTTCTGAGGTATGTGCTGCTGATTTGAAACCTGTTCCATACTGTAGGGACTGACTTTGAGGTTTGAGTTTGGTAAATGACATTGCTGAGATAAATTACGTTAATGAGGTAAAATATAGGGCTAATTCAGTGTGCACAGGTATGATAATGAAATGGAAGTGCTTTAGGGCTTCCCTTCTTTTGCAGTTCTAGCTTAAGGTGAATGTGTTTATATATAGTATTTGTGGAAATAAGCCACTTTCATTTTATTTGGAAAGATTCAAAAATGCTACATTGATTCTTGGTTCTTTTTAATAACATAACTATTTTGGGAGTAGGGGGATCTTTTCAACCTTTGGGATCAGTGAGAGTGCATTGTGAAGGAATGAGAAGGAAACACTTCTTTGGTTTTAGGAATTCTTGACAAGTCCCTCCTGCCTTAAAATTACCGTAATATGTTCAGTAGGCATTCTTTTCAGTTTGCTTCATATAACCTTCCTTCCATCCATCAGCTGATGTTTTTTGTCTTTCCTGGGAAACTGTCCCACTTCAAAGGGGCATGTAATGGGATTAAGGAATAAGCCATTTCAGGAGAGGAGAGGTACTAAGTGACTGTCTCCTACGATTTATGATATTCAAATATTGGAGTCTTATTCCTACTATAGGTTTTGTTCTATTAATTAAAAAGCCTTGCAGATGTCTATAATATGTTGATAACCTCAACACAGGTGTTCATCATTCGTGTTTTGCTGCACACCCATTTGGGGGTCATTTTAACTGGATTAACTGGCCAACTGAATTTTACAGCGAGCTTCTGAGACTGGTGCAGAGTGCCTCAGCTGTGCTATCTGCATTTGCACAGTGTACTGCTTTCTAAACAGACTTTGCATTCAGCTGCTGAAGGTTTGAGGTTCTCCTGTTTGAAGTTGCCTTCTTTATGTTGTAGGCAGAAGAAAATTTAGGAATGGTAATGATCTTCACTCTAGTCTCAGCAGTACAGGAGAAATTAAATGAAATAGTGGATCAAATAAAAACACGAAGAGAAGAGGAAAAGAAACAGAAAGAGAGAGAAGCAGAAGAAGAAGAGAAAGTATGTAAAATAATGTTTTCAAATAAAAATTTCCTGCTTTTTTTAAATGTATGGGTTTGATGCAGGAGCAATTCTCAGTTGCATCTTCTATCCCAAAGTTGATATAATTAGAACTTAAGGACTAGAAGATTCTTTAGAGCACTTAAGTGATTCCCCCCCTGCCCCCTTTTTCTAAAGCAGTCTTTTCAGAGACATATTGCATATTCACAATCCCTTCTACCATTACTTCCTAGGGCAGGGTCAGGGATTTTTCCCAAATGAAATCAGAATTGCTGTAGCCAGTTTTTTGATTGAAGAGGCAAGAGGGAATGGGGAGCAAAAAAAGGTAGAGCATGATGTGCTGCACAGAGGCTGCGCATGGTCTGAGGAAGTCTTTCTTCCTTGGTAGACTGAGTGGGTAGGGTGGATGCAGTGAGACCAGTCTTCCAGACTGGTTTGTCCTCCCAGCGCATGTCCTTTCCACCAGCCACTGTGGAATAGTTTTTTCCATTCATGGAATGTGCTGTGGTACGTCCAACTATGGAGTCTTCACTTTCTTCCTCAGAAATAGCTAGAGGGTGGTGGGACTTGGAAGGTTCAGTATTTCTGGAAATGGCAGAAAAATAGCTGAAAAAAGAATCCTTTTTTCTGTCTCAACGAGATAGAAGGGTTAATATATTTTAATGGAAAATATTTCAGTGTAGATGTCACTTAAGAGTTGATAAGAAGTGCTGCCTGCTTATGGATAACCTGTATTAGTGGTGTGATGCTAAGTATTGCACTGTACGTCCAAAACTAGTATGCAAGGTTTTTCCATAAGAATTTCCACCTCAGTACAGCTCTCTGAAGGGAGAGTCCCATGACAAAAACGAGTAAGAATGTGTTCTTTATATATTCTCAGGGTTAGGATTAATTTCTCAGAATACCTCACAGCAAGCGGTGCTTCTGGAATGTTGTAATTTAAATAATTAAGAGAATGCTTATCTTCACTCGTAGCTTTGCAAGTTGTGTTTGCAGCTTTGTTTTCTGTTCTTTCAGCAACGTTTTCATGGCACTCCTGTTACCATTGAGAATTTTCTAAATTGGAAAGCGAAGTTTGATGCAGAACTCCTAGAAATAAAAAGGAAAAAAATGAAAGAAGAAGAACAAGCAGGCAAAAATAAATTAAGCGGTATGATTTAAAACTGGTCCTGAAGTTTTTGCAATGTTACCAGACTATAATGACAAGCCTAGAAGTAATTTTTACACTGAAGGACGATGGTAGTAAATAAACTCTTAATGCAGTATTTGATTATTGTCCTTCATGTCGCATGAAGTCTTTCTGAGTGCTGCTTTTAGGCTAAATACAAAGCTAATAGATTCAGGATTTCTGCTGAAGTCATTACGGTTCCCAGAATGTTTAAGCTTCTTCAGTTTTGTGCCAGACTTGGAGCTGCTACTGGCAAGCATCGTTCTGGGTTGGGGTTTGTGAAGCAAGAGAGAGAATCTACATCAGGCAGTTTATTGATTTGGCCTTTATTGCACTGGATCGTACAGTGACTTCAGATTATTCAAGCACATGTAGGAGTTTGGGATGCTGTTACTAGACTGAAGCAACACAGAGGCTGACTGCTGCGTATGACAAGCTTACAATGACTAGTGAGAATGGCTTTGGTACTTCGAGGAGGAGGTTGTCATGGCAGTGGTTTCAGGCTCTGTGTTTTGCGGATCACAGTTTGTCCAGCAGAAAGCAAACTCTGTATCCAGTGGACAAAATGTGGAGGAAATTACTTTTCTTATGAGAACGTGTAGGTAAGAATTAAATCTTGGGCATCCTCCTCCACACTCTCCATGGCTTAGCTTTGGACTGGTTCTCCTGTGATGTTGGATCTACTTTTTAAACTGGTTACCTGAGAAAACATGACCAATGCTCCCCTCTACAAAACTAAAACCAGGCTTATTCTCAGATGTCATGAGTGTAACCCAAGTAGAAGTAAAAGGTGTCTGCAATGTTTTACCATGAACACCAACCAGTCTTGTTGGCGGAACTTGCGTAAGCAATGCAAATACAGATGGGAGATGGGTAGTTTATGTGGAAAGAGTCCTGAGCTTTTCTTCCTCTACCTCCCAGTTAGAAAGGCTTCGCTTTGCCTTGTGTGATGTTTCCTTCGCAGATATGTGTGTGTAGGAGCTGATGATTTTTGTGTAGATCCCAAGTTGCTTTTCAAATGGTGAGAATATATGGAAAAAGATGGAGGAGGCAGCTAATTTCCTTTCCAGTTCCCACAGAGGATTTCTGTGGAATGCAAGATGAGGACTAAAGCAATTAGAATTGAGCAAAGGCTTTGGGGCACTACGGTGTAAATTTTCCCACCCCCCATTATTAAAGCCTTAGTAGCATTAAAGTGACTATAAGAAACAGTGACCCATTTCATATATAAGAGGAGGAAGCCTGTTGGCGTGGAAGAATCATGGATGAATAGTCAAAAAATCAGAATGGGGGACTTATAGAAATGAGCAGCTTAAAAAAAAAAAAAAAAGACAGCTCAAATTGGTTAATTTGAAAAGCCTAAAATACATGTGCTAACTATTGTTGCCTTAGGTCGACAGTTATTTCAAAATTCTATTTGATTATATATTGGTTTTTATTTTATTTTATTTTATTTCTAGGTAAACAGCTGTTTGAAATGGATCACAACCTTGACACCTCTGACATCCAGTTCTTGGAGGAAGGTAAATTTCTGTTTGTTTCCACAACTGAAAGACAGTGGCTTAAAATAGATAAAAATTCCTAAGCAAAATATGTATTATATTTCTGACTTAACATCTTACCTCAGTATCACACTTACATTAAAAGAACTTTCTAAGAAGTATTGTTTTGCAGATTGAACAGAAGTGATATTTAGCTTCTTTCAAAAACAAGCAAACAAAACATTTTCAAGATGCTAAAGTGTATTTTTTTGCAGTTTTGAGCTTGAGTTGATCTTATTTCTGTTGCTTCTATTCAAGTCGTTGGACTGGAAGCAAAAACAAGCAAAGCAAAACAAAACAAAAAACCCCACAAACAAACCCTGCTTTTTCTTTTTTCTAATAGCCAGCCTTCTTACCCCTGATTTCAAGCAAGATCTTGAAGTTGTGTCTGCTTCTCTCTGAACCTCAGTGCCAATAGTAAACATCTTGCAGGTCAAATTAAATAATGTTTGCCTCTGTGCAACCCAGTTCTTCTTTGTGGTTTTGTGCAGCTTTGTCTATTATCTTACTGAAAATATCTTACCTGGTGCCAGCTGAAAATTTTGTAAGCCTGTTAAAGATGTTAAACTTGGAGAATTTGTTGGAGATAAATCAAATAAATCGACTCACAGTCACGTATCTATTTAATTTTCTGTACTGCCGTTTAGTATCCTAGTTTAAAAGACTGATTTTTGAGTTAAGACAATTCTTTAATGTAGCTGCGTTATCTACTGGTGTTGCAAAACACACATGCAGAAGAGAGAAAAGTTGCTTATGAACATCAGTGAGTATAAACTTGAAATGGGAGTTGAGTTTCTTTTAGTTAGAGGGCATAATTTAACCTTGTCTTCCTCCAAAATGCCTAAAGTGAAGAAGGATTGTTGATGGAACATTTGGCTGTCTAAAGGGAAGAGCAGATCTCTCTGTTTGGGCTCTGTGCCCAAATGACTTGGGATTAATGTATTAACTTTTAATCCTGTTGCTATCGGTGATTAAAAACTCCTGTGCTCATTGCTGTTTGCATTCTATCATAAATGCAACAGGTTGCTAACTGCAATTTAATATTACAATACCATGTAATAAGTAATACTAATTTTCACAGCTTAAACAGGATAATGGCAGTATCTTTTAGATGGAAATGGTTATAAAGGCTCTTTCAAATCCAGTGAAAGAACAGAACCTTATTCAGCGGCCAGAAGATGTCACTGTTGATACACAAATAAAATAGCAGTAGTCCTCAAGTGTTATCCTTAGGTCAGCATCATCTCTTTCAGAAGAAAATGTGAAAGCATACAAACATTCATCTTGCTTTTAAAATTTAAA